TGGGTGACAGTGAGAAGGAGCTGTAGTCTTAAATAGAAGCCCCCAGTACGCCACCAACATGTTCACATTTCACATCATTTTCTGGCACTCTGTGACACACACACCAAAGAAAAAACTATTATTATTGCCAGTTCCGTTTTGACAAACCTGAAGTGAGAAACACAAGCAGCCAATTACCAGGGGCCAGCGCACACGGCACTGAATGGAAACCTGAAACTGCAAATAAATGTAAACTTCACAAAATAATAATTCACTTCGGCAGTAATGACACTTGCCAAAACAAAGGTGAACTGTAGTTTTCTCTGGTCCCCTCCCCAATCGGACCAGAAGTGACATTTTTAGCTGGCTTTCTGAGTGAGCTGGTGTGGTCTTTATAGATAACAAAAGTTTGGGGAAGTTTGTGGGTGAAACCTGTGAATATTCACAGATGGAACCAGGAGCAAAGTTGCAGTTTCTCTTCCTCTATCATCCCAGGAAAACACTATCCTAGAGAAACTGCAGGTGGTGCTGTTGCAGAAGCGATATGAGGATCAACCTAAAAATGATGGTGTGGCTGGCATAGATGATTTTGATGAACAGGCTGACTAATGCACTTAAAACTCAAAGGGCACTAGGGGAAAAATCTTTAAAACCATAATAGCCTCAGACCTCAAAGATGCCTTCCCCCCTCCCTTCTTTTTTTACTTTAGATCACAGGCAGATTTTCAAATGAAGAACCTGAGATCAACTCGAACCATGGACGTGGAAGTGCTTTGCTTTGTTGCTGATGATAGATTTTCTGCTCGTGGATTGTTCTTGTAAGATAATGTGAGATCATCTAAGAAAAAACTGCAGACAGGTGAAGTAAGTATTATATATAAACAACCTGTTGACCACATCTAAAAATGACATCAGGGTTTTCTGTGGTGGAAATGTGTTGAGACAGTCTAGCAGTGACGTCAAACAGAAAATAAGTACGAGTGCAGGTTAGCGGTGTGGTCTCTGTGTGTTTCCTGATCTTTAACAATACAGTTAAATTGAGAAGGCATAACAACTCAAGCAGCCTCTTCTGCTCACCGAAGTCTGCGAAAACACATGTGAGTCTTGCTGGTTTTTTTTATGAAACATACTCTGAAATCATATATATTTTTATATATACCTATGCAGGAGTGGTTATATACTGGAATTACAATGTTAAGCAAGTGACCCACATAGTTAAATTGTTTATGACCCATATACTTAGGTGCATCACTGTACACTGGTGATGCGCAGCGGTTGCTTTAACCTACTATTTTAGACTATGGCAGTTTTATGGGTTATGCTGACAGGTTTGTCTCTCACAGTTGGTAGAGTTTGGCTGATTTGATGCATCTGGTTTGGGTTTGTGTGTCCTCGTCTTAATCTTTTTTTGTCTTTGTTAGTTTTTGACGCACATGTGCTTAAAGCTTTTCACCCAGGTTTGCTTTGTCTTGTTCTTCTGTGATGTTCTGTTTTGCTCTACATATGGCTCTGTTCAGTAAGCTCTGTTTCAAGAACTATGCTCTGTTCCAGAGGATCTTTTTGAGTGGTTTGATTTTAATTGGATTTAAAAAGCTGAATCCACAAATGATGTGCTGATAAAGTTCATCATATTGCTCTTAAAATTGTGACCTGACACTCATCCTTAAATCTTTTGTACTTCTGTTGAATTCCTGCTTAACTTTACTCCTGTAATGGGAAGGACAGACAGCTGCCTCAGCACTACAGCTGGTTTCTGCCAGGCCCAAGGCATCCTGCTGCCAAGTGTGCTGACAATCTTACAGTCATATGTGGAGTTCATTATGAAAAATCTGTGATTAGCACATACCGTATACCGACTACAAAGCGCACCTGAATATTAGCCGCACAAGCTAAAATCAGGGGAAAATCCTGTTTTGTACATACATTAGCCGCACCTGAC